ACCCCACCGCAAAGGGGCAGAGGCAAATTCACATTTTCCAACCTCTTCTTCAAACTACACACATTCAAACAGAAATGCTAACAAAAATAAGAACAAAAACAAATAACAACTTTTATAAAAATATAAAGTGTGAATGGTTGAATTGTGTCCCTCCAAAAGATATGTTGCCGATGTGACCCCTAGGACCTGTGGCTGTGACTTTATTTGGAAACAGGGTCTTTGCAGATGATCAAGTCAAGGTGAGGTGGAGCCTAATCCGACATAAGTAGGCTCCGTCCAAGAAGAGAATAGACACAGACACACAAGACGAGAAGAGAGAAGGCCATGTGGGAGCAGAGGTAGAGATGAGAGTGAAGTTGCCACAAGCCAAGGACATTTGGGGTTGCCTGAAGCCAGAAGAAGCAAAAAGTTCTCCTTTAGAGACTGCAGAGTAGGCATAGCTCTGCCAGCACCTTGATTTAGAACATTATGTCTCTAGAAATATGGGAGAATACGTTTCCATTATTTTAAGCTACTCAGTATGTGGTCCTTTGTTACAGTAGCCCTAGGAAACGAAAACACTGGTGTTTTCTCGTAGTGGGAGGCCAGAGACAGACACGGTACAATAGGTAATGACAGGACTCTATGGCTTTGTTCCTCAAAGTCTGAGTCAAGGAGCAGAGACATTCCTGGAAGCTTGTTTGAAATACACACTCTCAGACCTCACCCTAGACTTAAGAAACCTAATATCCCCGGAGATTGTTGCAGCCCTAATCACAGCAACAGCATAACCATATCTGAGCCTTTCTCATGTGCTGGGCTCCGATCGGAGAATCACACCATAAGTTAACCCACTTAACTCACCCACCAACCTATAAGGGGCGTAGTGTTATTATTCCCACCTTACAGACAGGGAAACAAGTCACCGAAAGGCGACGTCACTTCCTGAAGTCATGCAAATAGCAAATCTGGAACTCAAGGAAATGAGCTGCATGTATCTTTATTTCAAAGGAAAGACGTAAGAACAGTTGTGTTGACACTGGAGAGACTTGCCTAGGCACACCTCTGAAAGGTCAGGCCTCTCTCTCCTGTTGATCCTGAAATAAAGTTAGAAGTAGCTTTGCTGCTGGAAATGGTGTGTCACAGAATCGGCCTTGCGGATAAAAGTCTGAAGCTGTCTTCCCTATTCTTCTAGCTCCACCCACCTCTCACCAAGTGGTAAGTTAAGCAAAGTAATTGTGAGCTTTACCCCTAGGAGAGGGAAGATACAGTGTGGAGGAGGCAGACTGGAGAACAGAGTGCAGCATTCAAGGTCCTGCTTAGAAAAAAAAAAAAAATCTAGTGATGACATGGCCCTTGAACACTTGAATGGCTTCTGAAAGAAATGTCCTTGTCACTATGAAGGTGGGATCTTTTGGGTTGTAAGAAAGAAGAAAAGAAAGACATTCGTTCCCTCCTATTGAACATTCTAGGAAATTGACATTCTGTGACTCAGCAATACTCTGGAAAGGGTGGCTTCCCCTAATGCTGTCCTTAGCTCTGCGTACATCATATGTGATTGCAAACCACTGCCTCTGCTTCAGAAGTGGGTGGAGACGCATCTGAGTAAATCCTCCTTGATGCTAGCCTATCAGAGAAGACTTGCCTAGGCACACCTCTGAGTCTTTGAACTTATTCTACCTTGAGTAGCCCTTTCCTTAAATCTCCCAGTTGAACTCTCATGCATTCACAAAACCCACTCCACTATTACCTTGTCGGTGAAATCTTCCCTATTTTTCTATGCTTATTCTGCTACTGTTGGCAGAACTGAGCCTCTGAGCCTCTGCTAGAACTTGCATAAATTTGAATGATAAACTTTATTCTTTCACATTTATATTATTTGGTTACATAATTGTGTCCTTTATTAAACTATGATCACCCTAAAGTCGAGGAGGGTATCTTATTTATCATTATATCCCCAACCTGGTAAAAATATTTTTGCATGAATAGAAATCTATTCTATATCATGGAAGTCATATTTAAACTCCTTGGCAGTAATTAGAATATGATAACCAATATGATATCAAGTAGTTATATATGGCTAGTTACTTGAAATTAAATAAAATCTAAAATTCAGTTGTGTAGTTCTGCCACATTTCTAGTGCTCCATAGACATGTGTGGTTAGTGGACACCATACTGAACAGCATTGATATAGAATATTTTCAAAATTAAACAGTGCTGTTGTAGAATATTTTCTATTTGTTATGAACAAATGCATCATTTTTGAAATATAACAACACTAATTTTGACTGGTGGGATTACCCATTATTTTATAACCCTGCACAATATTTTAAAGAAATGGAAGATACCGTGAATGTTCATTGATGCTTCATTTATTTTTTCTGAAGTAGCAGAAGGCAATGGAAGTGATGGAAGGTCTGTTTTTCTTACTTATACGCTGTGTATCCAAGGGAAAATTACTTGACCTCTCTGGGGCTTCATTTGCTCCTCTGTAAAAGGGATATTAAATAACCATACATGGCTCATAGGGCTATTTTAAGAATTAAATGAGATACTGTACATAGAGTTAAAACACAATATTCAGTGAAAGAACAGTTATCTTTATGGCACCTGAACCTCAAGACCCTCACCTATTAACACTATGCTGAGGAACTGCTACGAACCATGGACAGATTCCCTTCTTAGTGGTCAAGACTGCGACCTTCGATTTTGACAATGCTATGAATTGAATAAACTATTGCAAAAACAAAGGCCAAGCCTAACTGGGTCAGCACACAACAAGGTTACAATGCTGACTCCAAATTTTCTATATGTCTCAGTTTCATCGTCTATGAAATGGGAATAATATATTCTTATAGGGTTTTTCTGATAAATAAATACATATGATTAAAAAAAAAAAAAAAGAGCCTAGCACAGAAGCTGGCAATTTGTGAGCACTGAATAAATTCCAGAAACAAATATTTGTTTTTGTTGTTTACATTTTCTATTAGAAGTTACTTCATGTCTAGTTTATTTAGTGAATGAATGAATGAATGAATGTGCTAAATCAATAACCTCTCCCAGTTACTGCCTGATACAAGATTATGAATAAATATCACCAACATGATCTCTTCATGAAAGTCCAGTTAAATTTAATAGATTATACAAAGCTTTGTATATTTCAGGCACTAACTGATGAAAAGAAAAATACAACTTTAAATGCAACAGCTTAGAGATCTATGCTTCAGTTCTCATAATTACCAAATATTATTTTTGTTTTCTGCCAAATTTATATGTAATACATAACTGACCACCCCTTAATATTGAAGAGTGTAAGTTTTCTGTTTACCCTTTGATTTTTAACATGAACCATATTAAACTCTGCTTTAGTCAAAGCCATTGTAAAAATAGCCTGACTTTAATAATGGAAAATCAGATTCAGCTAATCATTTGACAGAATTTCATCAAATATATACTTTTTTATTTATTAGCACCTCTGATCAATGCAAAAAAAAAAAGGTCAAAATAATTGTGGTTCAGAAAATGTGCTGGCATAACATATGTGAACGTAATGCTTATCTGAGGTTAATAGTGTTTATCTCGTGGAATCTGTTCAATCATCCTACAGCTGTAACTAAGGTGCCTGGGCTAGTGATTCCCCAGGTGCCGACCAGATCCACTGTCCTCTCTTCACGGCCCTGCTCCAGGAGAAGACTTCCTCTACCTGCTGTCTTTGATGGTTGTCTTTCCTCTAGGCTTGAACACTGGGAGGGTCGGTATTAGGAGAGAAAGATGCCCTGCTTCAGTACCTCCCCTCTTGTAGAAGTTGGGTTCCTCCAGTAACACAGCTCCTTGGGCATGACAAGTCTCCATGCTGTCATCTCACTTGGCTCCAGAAACTCAGTTTCTTTCCTGTTCATTCAGCTATGTGTTGGGAATGGCTTTCCACCACTGCCAGTCTCTGGGTGTCTCACAACCCCTTGTTTAATGCAATCAACCCTCTCACACCCTATAAAAATCCCTTCATTACATGATCTTCATGTGAATTCTCTGGGGTAAATTCCATTCTCTACCTGAACTTGCCTCACACAAAGGAAAAAGAAAAAGTTCTGTTGCCAGGTATTTCCAGGTATTTCACTACGGAAAAGTTATTTCTACTAACTTCAGTTCACTCTTCTACAAAACGAGAGCAACAACATGTACCCATTGACTCTACAAGGTTGTGACACTGGTATGAATAATCGGAGAGCATCTCATGACTTTTCCTGGAAACACTGCACTAATATTTCTTTGTGTTCTGGATGGGATAAATAATAGGGGAGACCTCTATTTTGGAACCACAAGAGAAGCCAGCTGGAAATATGAGGAAGGAAGGCAGAGCTGAAAGGACCACAGAGAAACTCAGCTAGAACTCTGAACAAACTCCAGCTGAAGGCTCGCCGAACAGCGGCACTATTTTGTATTTCTCTTTACAGTTTAAATCGGTTTGGGTTTGCTTTTCAGGATTTACAACCATGAAACATCCAATGTTGTAGAAGAAATGAACTGCCTTCGCATGTTTACTTATTAGATGCTGATGGTGTAAATACACTTTTTCATAAATATTTACTCTTTGTAAATCAGCCCATTCCCAGGCTTGTTGAATGGTCTGCTTTGACAGTTGTTCCTAAATCCTGCAGAAAACATTCTAAAATCGAAGGAAGGTTTAACTCAATGCAAAAAAAATATATATTTCTAATACATCTGGTAATTATAGAAATGTTCAGGTGAGCGGCCTAATTATACACGTGATAGTATTAAAACCGATTTAGTATCGTAGTCACTGTAAATATCCATTTTCAGAAAAAGTCACTTTAGTTCTTTATCAGCTTAACACTGAATATAAACAATGTGAGTTACGATACACACATGTTAGAGGACAGGAGCAGACGAAATATCTAAGGACTTGAAACAATGTGCTGTTTATATCAAGAAAGCAACACCTGCTCTTTTCAGAAAATTAAGTTTAGGGAAGATTTCCAATTACACTTTTATACAATAGTGACTCTGAATGTGAACTTGTGAGTTTATTTTTTTCAAAATAATGACAGCAAAAAATTTTACAGAGCCTATATTGAATTTACATATTCAACTGAGGCCTTCCCAGTAATAATGGGGTTAATACAAAGCTAGGGTTTGACTTTTGACGTTACGTCAAATGTACTAACCATCCTATGAGTTACAGAAGATTGATACTTTTTAAATTTAAGATCTCCTGAAAATTAAAAAAAAAAAGAGAAAAGCTTTACTAAATTTTGGACACACATATTTTCTCCAAATTTTACATCGAGTGAAAGAAGAAATCTGCAATAGCTCAGTTAACATCAACAGAAAGCTTCAAAAAAGGATCTCGAAATGGCAGGCAAAACATTTTTTTTTATTGTAGGCAATTATTTAAACTGCATATTTGGCTTTATGCTTAATAAGTCATGTGGGAAAAACATCCACATTGCTGTTAGGATTTCAGTATCTAGCTTTCATTTTCTTTTTTCTTTTTTAATGGGATTTTGCCAGGTTAGAAAAGTGAGGGCTTTCGTGGGAGTTACTTGAAGTTTCCGAGCTGAATGGCTGAGCGCACGTAGATGCATCGGAAGGTGGATGGCTGGATCTCCCAGTACTGAACTGGGTTGCTGAAAAGGCTCACTCCCGAATACGAAGCCTTTTTGGTGTTGTATCCAGGTGGGCAGAAGTCATTAGATCCAACTGCAGAGATATTGTTGTTATGAAGGTAGACAACCTGCAACATGAAATAACGGAAAATAATTATTTTCCTTTGAATATGCGGAGGCCCCTTGTGTCAATACTTTACTCTTTTTCAGTATTTTCATTCTTTAGTTCAACTAGTGTAATACTTCTCAAACCAAACTTTTCATTTCTCTCTTCCTTTAAAAACTTGTTTTTCTCTTTCTTTCTCTCCTTATTTTGGTCTATGGCATCTCAATCTCTCAGATGCTTACACTAAGAATATTGTCATTATCCTTTCTCCTTCCTTTCTCTTATACTCTCTGTTCAACTGTTAACAAATCCTGCCAGCCCAAACTTTAAAAGACTCATATAATCCAGTTCTTTCCCCAAAATCTACTCCCAGATCCGTTTCCAAGCTGCCGTTATCGTCTATTACTGAAGTTCTTCCTTTTTTGCCTTCCTAGAGTCTGCTCTTTCTTTTTAGTTCACAGAGCAATTATTTTCAAATTTAAGCCAAGACATATGTTCTTTGTCTCAATATTTCACTGTCTTCCCATGTCATGCAGAGTAAAATCCAAAGTTCAACGGTCTCCAAATCCTACGTGATCCTACGTGATCTGACATCCTTCTGCTCTGACCTCCCTTCCCCCACTGTTCAATCCAACCGCCCTGGCCTACTTGCTTCTCCTCTCACTCACAAAGCATGGTTCCTCCTCAAGTTGGCACACACTGTTCCCTCCACATGGAATAATGTTCTGCAAGATGGCTGCCAGGCTTACTTCCTCATGTCATTCATTTTTGCATAGCTGAAACGTTTTACCTGAACATCCTATTCTACTATTCTCTCTCTCAATTACACTTCTTTATTTTTCTTTATTGGAAGTATCACTATATAACATATTATATTTTTGTTTGTTGTCTGTCTTCCTCCTGTAGAATAAAAAAGCTTCATTGGTAGAAAAACCTCTTCTGTTTTATTCATTACGGTATTTACAGTAACTAGTAGAAAAGAGTAGGTAGGCATTGAATAAATATAGTCAATAAATATATGTTAAATAAATGAATGGATTCATGGTTACATAAATTGTGTCTACATGGAGTATTATATTTTCAGGGCAAAGACAAATGATAAACTTTTCAATTAAATTATATAAAATGAGGAAGTAATATATAGTAAAGAAAAAGGGGTTATACAGTATTGAAATAAAAATAAGGAATCACAAACTCTAAGAAATACTTGAGTGTCACTGCAATTAGAATAAATATACCAAGAAAGTTTTAACAAAAATTTATTCTGTTACAAATTATACTCTATGAATATAATGTTATAGCTCATCAAAACTTTTTCTGAAATATATACATGGTTATGTTTAAGATAATGGTAATATGTTCATAGATTTCCTTAGTGACACTAAATATAAGACAAAAGGGACTTTAGAAATGAGCTTCTTACTTCCATTATGCAGATGTGAATTCTGAAGAGCAATAAATAATTTGATGATACAAGCATAAAACCAAGGCTAGAATATAATGCTAAGACAACAATAGCTGAAGAAAGCTCCAAAATCTGTGAGGTGCTCCCTTAAAATAATTGACTTGAAATACTGTTCTATCTACCAGAACACCCATACTCAATTGTTGGTGACAAGGGCCTTGTCTGAGAAAGGGTTTATAAGGAGAACAATAGATGTCATATAGAAAGAGGAACAAGGGATATTAAAATCAAAACAATACCTGTGAATACTTTTATTTTGTGATTCTCAAATTCTGAGAATTTCTTGTAGTCATTTACTATTCTACACTCCCTAGCAGTGATTACCAAAAAAGGGGAGAGTTGTTTGCTGAGAGTTTATGGCTGGTATCGAAAGTTAGAGATGAAAATATGAAGATATAAAGCAAGCATTAGTTTCTGTTAAAAGGAAAGTAGATTCTCAACTCATTCCAGGAGGTCAATATTTTCTAATATTAAAGACAGACAAAACTCATCACAAGAAAACTATATTCTAATATCTCATATGAGTATAGACCAAAACACTTTAACAACCTATTATTAGAAAACTGTATCTCACAATATGTAAAATCACTGTACTTCATGACTAAGACCGAGCACAGTTTATCTCAGAAATGTAAAATTGGTTTAATTGATTGTCCAACCCCCTCTTAAAATAAGAAACAAGGCAAAGGTTTCTAATTTTATCTCTTCTACTCAACATTGCACTAGCAATTCTACCCATTTTAATGAAGCGAGAAAAAAATATTAAAAGAATTTAGATAAAAAATAATTAGAACTATCTTTATGTGCAAATGACATGATCTTAAATATAGAATGTCCAAAGGAATACATAAAAACTAACTGCAACCCCAAACAATTTCAGTACAGTATTAAGATAGAAGATCAATATACAAAAATCAATTGAATTTCTGTATACTAGCAATGAACAATTCAAAATTAAATTAAGGTAACAATTCATTCACAACAGAATCAAGAACTTAAAAAAAGAAATGAATTAATAAAAGAATTATAACACTTTTACCCTAAAATTATAAAGCATTATTGTAAAAATTAAAGAAGATAAAAAAGATATTACATGCTTGTTCATTGGAAGAGTCAATATTATCAAGATAAAAATTCTCCCCTAATTGACCTAAAGATTCAACACAATCCGTATCAAAGTTCTAGCAGGCTACTTTAGCAGAAAGGGACAAGTTGTTTTGAAAATTACATGGATAGGCAAATAAATAGCCAAAAGAATTCTGAAATCTAAGAACAAAGTTAGAGGACCCTCATTCTCAATTTCAAAACATAATCAAAAGCTACAGTAATCAAAGGTGTAGCGCTAGCAAAGAAATTGTGGCATACCCATATAATGGAATTCCCTTTACCAATAAACATGAACGAACTTCTAATAAATGCTATGATGCAGATGTCCTAAAGTTATTATGATATGTTTAAAAAGCCAGGTACCAAAGCCATACATTGTTATGATTATATTTATATAATCAATATAATTATATTGATAGTCAATTAGATATGAAAAATCATGGCAAATCCATAGAGACAGAAAGAAGATTAATGATTCCCTGTGTCTGGGGATAAGATTAAGAACTGACTAGAAATTAATAAGGTTATATTTTGAGGGTAAAAGAAATGTTCTGTAGCTGGATTGTGGTGATGTTGAACTATATAATTTTGCTTTAAATAATTGAGCTATATACTAGAGAAAAGAAAATAGATTAGTTGAAGTCCCTCTGGTCTGTAGAAAGAGAGGCAAAATGAGTACATGTATAGCCAATGAGATATGGAAACCAAGGGTGAGACCCTTCTGAATGCGGGACCTTGTGTGAAAATCCATGAGATTTGCTGATATTCAACAGATTTCAAACTAAAATGTTTCCTATTTTTTCTTCTATGATCCACAATATGAAACATACTATATAATGAAGTTTAGTATATATAAATCTGTGCATATGAAACAAATTTAAAAATACTTAGCATTATAGGTGATTTTTCCTTTTATATTAAATTTATTCTTCTCCATCCCAACCCGTCCCATCACACTTCATAAATGTTTCTAAAGGACCCATGAAACTGATTTTATGAACTCAAAAATGCATTCAGACTAACATTTGAAAAAGAGCTAACAAAAGGTGAAAATGATTATTCTGAGATCTAAAAATAAAAACAAAAACAAAACTCACCACCAACTAAAATTTTAATAGTAAAAATGATAACTATTTTTATTAGGTCTTCCAAGAGACCTGGTTTTGCTTATGGCTTCAGACCTGCTTACTCATTTCTTTACCATCATCAAAGACCCCCTAAATAAGAATTAGCAAAAATAATGAAAATTGTGATATATCAATTTAATTTGAAGTTTTTGTCACACTCAATTAAAAAATCAGTAATTTATTGATATTTTTGAGAGCAGAGTAAAAGATGAACCTATCTTGAACCCTAAGCAATAAAGTTGAGATACCAGATTACGAAAAGGGCAACTTTATAAAATAATTTTACATATAACATAGTGTCAGTGTCAAGGTATAGTTTCTGAATCACCATGGTTGAACTAAGTATTTATGTAAATCTCTGAAACAATTTAAATATGACCTTTAAGCCCTGGCCTGTTTGGCTCAGCCATTAGATAATTGGCCTGAAGACCAAAGGGTCACAGGTTCGATTCCTGGTCAAGGGCATGTGCCTGGGTTGCAGGTTTGATCTCAGGTCCTGATCTGGGTCATTCAGGAGACATCCAACCAATGTGTCTCTCTCACATGGGTATGTTTCTCTCTCTCCCTCCCTCCCTCCTTCCCTTCCACTCTGTCTAAAATCAATGGAAGAATGTCCTCTAGTGAGGATTAACAACAAAATAAATACATAATAAACATGACCTTTAAAAAGCCAAAAATTTAGATAGAATAAGCAAATATGTATAATCTGTAGTTGTCCTCATCACTGAATTTATAAAAAGTTATGTAATTTGAATAACGTGTTTATTTCCTCAAGTAACAATGGAAGTCTTACATTGCTACATATGAAATCATTATCATTATTTCAACTAAGAAACATGTCTTCCATTTAAGGATCTGCAGACTGCAAAGCTCTATTACCACAGTGGGCCATTGAACCATACTTTCCAATTCTTTCAAATGTATGTGAACTTTCAAATGTATGTGAACTTGAAATTCTTTCAAATTTATATAAAGTTAATTCAGTCATGCTGCTAGATAAACATTCCCTTTCGAACAGTCTGACATTTGTTGAAGCTAGGAGTTATAACTATAATTTTATTCCATATCTATGCATCACAGATGATATCATCTTTTCTGACCAGTATGTATTTATTACACTGATCTGTGACTTGAAAGTATGCTGCCTCATAAAATATAGTACATTCTGGAGGCAAGCATCATTATAAGTTCAAGACAAGAATCCTAATTATTAAAAATTTAATCATTTAAACCTACACTTTATAAAACTAGAATGACTATTTATGTGGAAACATTAAAAATATCTCTCTGCAGCCCTGGCCAGTTGTTCAGTGGTTAGAGCACTGACTAATGGACTGAAGAGTCTCAGGTTTGATTCTGTCAAGGGCATGTGCCTGGGTTGTGGGTTCAATCTTGGTCCTGGTTGGGGTCCTGAGGCAACCAATCGATGAGTGTCTCTTACCTTGATGTCTCTCTCTCTCTCTCTCTCTCTCTCTCTCTCTCTCTCTCTCTCCCCCTCCCTCCCTCCCCCCCTCCCTCCCTTCTACTCTATTTAAAAAATAATCAATGGAAGAATATCCTCAGGTGGGAATTAATAAAAAATGATTTCTAAGCAGAGCTTCCCACCTCCTAGCACCCCAGTAAAGAGGGTCTGCTCGCTAGATATTATTCACAATAGTAAGCGGCACTGCATTACCTGGATGTACTTATGTTCTGCCAGCCCAGCAGGCACTTTGATAAGCTCATTGTTGTTCAAGTGAAGTTCTCTCAAATGAGGAGTGTTGGCCAGAGAGCCATTGTCAACAGCAGAGATGCTGTTGAAGCCCAGTCCCAGCCTGCAACAGAAAAGAGAATTCAAGGTCATACACCACCCATGATGCCTTCTTATAGGTATGTGATAAACCATGTCAATCAATAGAAAAGGACATTTTTCATTTTTGCACTTACTCTTCCCTCTGCCTGGAGTGCTTTTCCCAAGCTTGCTGAACTTGGACCAAGCCCACTTGTTCTTACAGCTTAGAGTAACCTCTTTAAAATTCCTCTGTCAGTACCAGACTGAATCAGTACCTCTGGTAGATGCTCATATAGCAAGCATTCTGCTGTCACCCTCCTGTAAAACTCAAGGGACTGTGTACCTGTGTGTCAGTCCTTGAGAAGAGTGACTGTCTTTTGGTATATTCAATACTAACACAGAGCTTGAAATCAATCATCAATGAATAGCTGTTGACTTGATTTCTATATATAATGAATGTAGTGAATTCATTTGGGAGACAAATAAAAGAAATACCACTATCATTTTGTTACTTTGGAAATTAAGCAATTGTATATTTATTACATAAATTTGTTAGGAATAAAAGCTACAAGGCTTTAATGAGTCAATAAACCTGGCTTTCAAAAAGATTAACGTAATTAGCATCTTGCACTAGTTTGAAAGAGTTCATCAATGACCATCTGTTGCTGTCAGAATGTACCTGGTGCCAACATCCCTAGATCTTGACCTAGATCTCTAAGGATGAGACAAGAAGATACGGAAGAGAGCCAGAAAGCTCCAAGAGAGAACACGAGTAAGAAACCATTAGGTTTCTTCAAATGCAGTGAAAGAGACTTGGGCCCATTTTATAGGATGGTTTCAGCTTGGTTTCAGTTAGTACTGACCACTGAGGCCTTTTAAGATTTAGACACTGGCTAAGGGAACCAAAGTCTCCCAAATTTTAACCATGACTTGGTATTTGAAATAAGTGAAATTACATCGTACTGATTTTAGGTACTAATTAGCAGAGTTGGTTTATTTTAGCTATAGATTCTTAACCTGGCATCTTGACTCAGAATATTTTGCATCTCCCTTAGTTTTAGGCATTCAGATCTTGTTTCTGGTCTTTCTTTTTTTTCCTTTTATTTTCTTGTTTTTGTTTGTTTGTTTGTTTGTTTGTTTTTTATTCAGAATCAAGTCTCCTATTTCTTATAACATTCCAAGCCCCGTATCCATTTTGGGCTAATACATTTCTTGGAATATAATATTCCTAATGATTTATTCAAGAAAACCTTGATTTTTAAATAATTTACTTATTCACCTTGCAAGAGAGATGATAATATAATGATATATGGATATGGATATAGATAGATGATATAGATAGATATAGATATAGATATAGATATAGATATAGATATAGATATAGATATATAGATATAGATATAGATATAGATATAGATATGTGTGTGTATAATAAAAGGGAAGTCTGCCTGAAAATATATTTATATTTTTCTTTTTGCAGAGGGACACACACCATTTCCCCCCACACTGTTCCCCACAAGTAATTGGAATATTCGCCCTGCAACAATGTTCTGTGATCAGTGGCTACTTTCTTCTTATTTTCACAGTTTGATTTTTCAGCACCAAAATACTTCTCATGTTCCAACATCAATGAAAAGCAAACAACACGAGCATTTGATGGTTTAACAGACAAATTTTTTTCTGGACTAGATCCCCCCCCCAAAAAAAAAAAAAATTGTTTGATATATTTAAGAGTTAGGAAAGTTTGCTTTGCCAATGAGGCAATCTGCTCTAATTTAATGAATGGAATTCAAATCCATTTAAACAGAAATCCTCACTTCTATCGATCTTTTCAAAGTTTATTAGCTCTTTGGGCTTCTTTCTAGTTGATACAAACCATAACGATGTTGATATTAAAGTGCAGAATCTCAAAATATCTGTACCATTTTCAGTACAGAACATTTTTTCTTACTAAAAAAGCACAAGTATTATGAATGATTCACCATATTTAGAACATTAGACTATTGGTAGTCTCCTACTACTCCAAATAATAATCCAATAATAATGGCTGTCTTCATTCTGCACAATAAGCAATACAATTTACCTTCCAACATTTTTCTGAAGCTAGAGGGATCAAATAAACAAAGAACAGTGGGTGATGCATAATGCTATTTGGAAAATACTCTCTACATTAGAAGCTGCAGTTGCAATAGCTATAGATAAAGGATTTCTTATCATTTGAGACACACCAGGGTGATGCTTTGTAGCTATTGTCATAGGCATGTGTTTGTCTTCAGCTCTCACCATCCCCTGGGTCACTGAGAAATATCCACAGAAATGGGCAAGTTGCATTATATACCCATCTGGTTCGAGGCAGTTCTCAAACATGAATTGAATATTTTATATGTATTTATCTATCATGAAATTCATATACAAAAAGAGGAGTGAGCCGATTTGGCATAATGTCACGCTTCTCTGTAAAAACATTCAGCAATATGTGTGGGTTGAGAACAAACGTGTTCCTTGAAGACAACCGAATGAGTTTTCCAGCGCTCTCTTCCTCTCATTATTTAGCCAGATTGTAAATACAGGAAGATTGAAGTTAGGTCAGACAGCAAGACAGGCACTAGTGATCATTTATAAGGAAAAGAGAAAATTAAGAAAGGCCAGACACTAAAAATAATGTTTTTATACTACATTAAATGTCCAGACACATTTTAATCTCTTCATAATAAGAATTAGAGAATCTCATCATAACCATTCTAACTCAATAATGTGGTGTAGGATGCCCAATATTTCTATATCCTGGTAGCCTTCAGTTTAATGTATTTTCAAATGCTGGGCACTGTTATAATTTGTTTAACCTCCAATGCAACTAAATTATAACCTGTTGAATAAACATACTGATTTAATTAATAAATACCTTTTAATAAGAAATATCTTAATCTAACAACAACAGGGTATCCATAAAATAGGAGGTTAATCTTTTGGTTACAGTAAGTATACTGTTACATTAGTTTTTATAAGAAATAATTGAGCAATCTAAAGTCTGAGGTTGTTGTAAACAATAGTAAAAATGTATACAGTAAAAATGTTAATCATGTTTCTAATTCTGAGCATGGGCACTAATATACCTGGTTATTTTACTGATAAAATGTCATGAAAGAATATAATTACTTAGCCAAATTATTCAGTCCTTTCAGGCTAGCTGCATCAACTTTGGTGATTTTGTTGCCATCGAGATGTAATTCAGTCAGGGAAGGAGGAAGACCTGGAAGATGGATACAAAATGTTGAATGAGCAGATAAACATAATCACAGAATACAGAATGACGTAACGAGGACATGTGCCATTTGCTAAAACACATACACTTCCAAGTGATTTGCTTTTCATCTTGTTCATTAGTTTTGCTTTTCCTAATTTTCCTTCATTCATAATAATAGATGCTCTGGGAAGTAGTGTGAGATGTTTGTACCTTTCTCCTAAATTGATTTAACAAAACCATGGACTGGGTTTATCCCGTAGTAGATTTATACCCTAGGAAATGTTAGGATACAGTTGCAGAACTGCAGTGAAACCCTGAATCTCATTAGGTTCTTACACCTTTGCTAATGGGCTAACACCACCAGTGACAAAAGATAATAACTCTCAAATGAAGGGATGAGCAGTTGAATCAGAATAAAGAGATTATATACCATAACAGTGAACTAGTTATTTCATTAATGATCATCATTAAATATTGACATACCGGTCTTATTCTTAATCAACTTTTCCATAAAAAGATCAAACGCCTGTCCAACATGGGTGTTTAGAGACGGCTAATGCTTCCTCGGACTTTAAAAATCAAGACAGCTTCTACATACATGTGGAGTGCAGAGGCCTGTAGTCAAGTGATCTGCCATATGTAGAGCATCCGGAGAAGTCGTTTTAGATCCAGAGTATCCACTAAACCTCTGGATACTACTCCTTGAATGGCTAGACTTTCTAAAAATTCAGTGATATAAATATAAAAGTTCAAATATTGTATTCTCATTTCCTCCTGCCATCGGAAGAGGTATTATATTTTTACATAACATTTTAAACAGCATATTGTTCCACTTATAAGAATAGCACCAGCTACAAAGCAAACTGCAAATCGGTTGCATTTAGAACTAGCATCTGCTCAATAGAAAGTGTTGGTTGTTTGTTCACTAAGAACATAAATGAGAAAACCACAGGTTGTGTTTGGTCTAAATTTTTCACTGCATCCTATTGAACTCTGTCAAGATTGTCTATTCACTGTAAAAGTGCACCCACATTTGATTTGAAATGACATTAGTTTCTCTATGTGAGACATGCTAAGGAAAAGTTCTACTTAGTGAATATCTGTTATGTGCCAAACACTTAGATTGGCACTTTCCTTAACTTAGCTTTCTTAATTTTTTCAATATTTAAATTAGTTTTCATTTGTCCCATTTCATAGACGAGGAAACAGAGATGCAAGTTACAAATGTAGGTTATCTAGCTACTTACTAAGTAGGGAATGTAATAAGTTCCCAGATGACCTAAGGGAGTTAAAAGAGCATGTCCTTAATGGAAGGAAATGAAAACACAATCGCATTATTCTCATGAAGAAGTATCAGGAAATCACAGTCACTCTTGGAATAAGGGATTTCAACCACTTGAATCTCCATAGAATAAATACATGTGGGTTTTTAAACTATTTTAATGAGTAAAACAAGTGAGGATATAAAAACCAAGGAATGCATCTCTCTTCTTCCTTATTACCATGAAAAGATGTTTTTTAAATGTAATGTCTCTAGAATACCAATTATAATCACATCTGTCATTCTTACCTAGTATCTAAGTATCTCCCTTTGGGGATATCATTTTCCCAAAAGGAAAGTTATAACCAGGAGGAAGTTTAACTGTGGAGGAAAACTTTGCATAGAATAGAGAGAGTCAAATTTATAAAGAACACCATTAGCCTTTGGCACTCTAGCATTCAGCCAAAGAACCTAAATTACAGTTACTTTTTTATTTCTTTTCTGTTTTCATTTGATGATAAAACGTATTGCCAGCTTACCTTGGGCCAAATACTATGCAAGTGCATTACACGTCTTACATCTATAGATCTTCACAAATGTTCTCAATGCTCTAGGTCATTAATAACCTCCATTTTATAAGTAACAAAACTGAGGTTTTAGAGATGTGAAATAATGAGCTTAAAGTCAGAGAGCAACTAAAAGGCAGAATCAGGCCGCTCACTCGGCTTGGTGTCACTCAAGAGTGAATTTATAATCCCTCCCTTCCATTCCACCAACTGTTTCCATCAGTGATGGAAGATAACGTGGAAAGTAAGGCTCCCAGAAGGTTGGTGACATTCAGGCAGAAGAGTCCCAGCCTAAGTATAGTCGGCTCACGTATTAGATTTGTATGAATATGCTTGGGGGTGGGACGGGGCTTACTATGCAGCAGAGCGAAATGGTCAAACACACCGGCTCTGACGTCAGCCCAGTGCAACCCCAGCTCTGCCGCTTTCTAGCTACAAGACTGATACAATTCACTTCATTTCATTAAGCCTCGTATTCCTCATTTATGAAACAGGTGATTGTTCTGAGATTCATATAACAGAATCCATGAAAGGCACTTGGTAGACGAGCTAAATAAAATTTAGGTACTATGATTTAAATATTATTCAGTGTTCAGTAAATAAGAGCAGGATGAGAAAAGGACACCTAGGATAGGGAAGGACAGGAGAAAGTCAAGAAAAGAAGATAACTAAGTGATGACGTGTTACCAAGGGACATTTAGGAAGATGCATAAGGACAGCAACATCAAAGATCGCTCTTACTGCAAGCCGTCTGGATCATGAAGTAGTGGAAAAATCTGGACTTAAGTTTCAGCCATTCTATTTCCCCTTCTAAAGCTCCAAGGCTTTAGGCATATATATATATATATATATATATATATATATATATATATATATATATATATATATATGTCATACGGATAAAAACATCATCCGTAGCAAAAAGACTGTGGAGAGAACAAGAGTTGAAGTTTCTATGGAAGTACAATAAAGGGACATTGTTTTCTGTGACTGAGTGGCTACATGTTCTACCCAGTCCAAGAATAAGACAATTGAGAAGGGTCAGATTGAAAGGAAAATTGGAGACCATAGAGGGGGTTTTTGTGAGACTGAAGAACCCAAGACAGGGAAAATGTGACAGTTAGAGAAACTTGTTTTTGGTGATTTGATGCCTTTTGTGATTCACAAAGAGTGTCCATGCGTCTCTCCTGGGTAGCCCTTCACACAGTGAGCTTACCCATGACTGTGTGGTGATGCTGCTTAACTGTCTGGCTTTGCTCCAGGAAATAAGCTCCTTGAAGGTAGGTAGTATATCCTATTCACTGTCCTGTCTGCTGTGTTTGGAACTTTACCACAGCAAAATGAGCGTTCAAAATATTTTTAATCAACAGCATTAAGTAATATTAATCCACTACTTATCTACATGCCAGATAGCCCTGTAATTATGTGTTTAATTTTAAAACAAAACAATGAGATGGATATAAATATTATTTTCACTTTGCAAGTATATAAATCAAGGCACAGATTTTAATATTTTGTCCAAGTCCTAGAGCTAATTAGTGACCATCTGAAGTGCACTCCAAAATCCACACTCTTGAACCCACAACTGCCTCTATTAAATTAAGAGTATGGTCACTGTGGATCCTTTCACTCAGAAAGTAACAACTGGATACTCCTCAGACTCAAACTCACTAAGAGAGTAGAGACTGGAAGTAAAAATTGGTTCATTTTCAGAGGTATTTCCTTCTCTCTCTCTCTCTAAACAAGGCACTGCTAAGACACTCTATTTCTTAAAAATAACTGTACTGTACTCTTTGTGAAATCACAATTCTATTGTATAAAACCACTGTGCATTAAATTAGATCTTAAAGGAGACTTTATAGGTAGACGAGCCTGGCTATCTCCACAATGAGCCTAGCTGGCCCAGTGGTCCACCAGCCTCAGTAGAAACACTTCTGAGGATAAATAATTTACTAGAAATAAAGTTGGCCACTTGAGTCACCATTCAAATGTCCAAACAATCTCTTTAAGGGTCCACTCCTTTGGATTTGGATTTTCAAAGTGCTTTGGAGCCGTTTCAATCACCTTGCGGGATGGCGGTGATGTTGGTGTCGGCGATGCGGATGTAGGAGAGCTTCTTCATTCCCTGGAAGGCTCCGTTCTCGATGCCCGAGCTCTTCAGCGGGTTGGTGCCCAGTTCTGCAGGTGCAGCAAGGGCAGAGCTTTTAGAAGACAGTCTTAGGACACGGCCAGAGCAGGGCCTACCTCAACAAGGAACTTAAAAGAAATTTGGTTCAATAACATCTCGACTGAAAAACAAGAGAAATTAAAGTAATGCTCCTCAAAGGAACAGTAAAATGGAGTAAAAATGACCCTCACTGAAAAAAATAACAACAACAAAAAAAAACCCAGAAATATTTATAAAATAGTAACAACAGTAGCAAAAAACAAAAACAACAAAATTATTTAAGGTGCCTATACAGCTTTGCCCAGAAATCAATAAAAGCAAGTGTTTACAAATTACACTTATTACGGGGCTATTACTTTCCTAAAATACATTAAAATGTTGTAAAATCATTCGATTCCAACATTTCGTAAGCTAATTATAAAATGGCAATTTTTGTCGCGCATAGTGCAAAACATTAGAACACACATGTTAAAGCAAATAATTTATAGATGTTTAGAATAAAACTGATCCCCACAACGAAAATCTATCCCCGTATATCTCTAATTCTTCACTACTTAATTACATCCTGCGTCTTGCACACGCATTAGGGTAACTTTAGCTCTAGCTTTCTCTACACCCTCAGATCCCCAAGGACAAGAAATAAAAACGCTGTAAGGTACAGTTTCAAAATCCCATTTCTCCTGGCCCTGCTCCTGCTAGCCCTATAGGCTTGATATGGAAGTTCTAGCTCATTACCTTCCTGCAGCTAACGCTTCCTTGAAATCTCTCAATGTGAACCTCGAGCCCTGGTCTTAGAGTTATGAGTATATCTGTACCTATGACGATCATCTGGTTCAGCCCGTTGAACACTGATTTCCGCACTTTGGTGATCTCGTTCTCATGGACACGCAGCTCCTGAAGAGTTTTGGGCATTTTTTCTGGCAGTTCCTTCAGCTGATTCTTGGACAGATAGAGTCGTTCTAATTTCACCAAAGGTGCAAATGCTCCAGGGCTGATTTTACTGATTTTGTTGTTGACAAGGATCAGTGCCTGTAGATAGGGAATAAAAACAACCTTTTCTTAATTGCAACAGCTCCCACACACGTATAAAGGAGGCGCCGAGTGTATCCATTCCCCCCGGGAACTAGCAGAGAGACCAGCAGCAATGCAAGAAATCAGTGAAGATCGAGCAGATGTGATTCCTGTCAGAAGGTGATGAAGATCTGAGCATCAGGCATAAAGAGGAGGAAAACAATGAAATATATGCATACTCAACAATCAAACAATAGATAATACTCCTAAAGATCGAAGTTACCAGAGTGACCCACGGTACCTGAAAAGGCATCCATTCTCCAGTTTTCTAAGTCCGTCTTCATTGACTGTTGTCATGAATTCCACCACGAAAGGGTGGCACCAATTTGCATTAGCACCAGCAGTGCAAGAGAGTAGAATTTTCTTGAAACCTCAAACATTTAGATATAATCTGTTTCAAAACATTTAGATATAATCTGCTTTGGCAAAAGTTTGCCAAATTAGTACCTGATGGTGTAGCTCTTTACTTCCTTACTTTGCGTTTTCTTGTCATTTGAAAGCTTTAAAAATTTTAAATTCATTTTAATAACATTTACTGTATTCCGGAGGGAGAGAGATTGCCTGATCACAATATTTCTTGTTTTTATTCAATTTTAATAAATTTTTTAAATTGGTTAAGAGAATAAAGGTGTAGTTGATATGATATGCAGAGCCTAAATACATATTTCTTTTATTTTCTTGCCATTTTTACATATAAAGATTTTATATGGTCAAATATATTAATATTTTTGGCAATTAAAAAAATTGGTGTTGGTTTATTCTCACCCAAGGATTTTTTTTTTTTTTTTTAAGAGGGAGAGAAAGAGAGTGAGATATTAATGTGAGAGAGACCCATCGATTGGCTGGCTCCCAAATATGCCCGAAGCAGGCTGGAGATTGAACCTGCAGCCCTTCAGTGTGTGGGCTGATGCTCTAACCACTGAGCACACCTGCCAGGGCAGCAATTTAAACAATTTTTATTTCTGTGTTCTCCTAATATACAAAATTGCTCCTCATTCATTATTGCTATACCTATTGCCAAACCTATTTTTGGACTATCTCATTTTTTCCCAGAGATCTGTATGTCTAATAATCTAATTATTTCAAGTTTTTTCATCAACTAATCCTAATTAACAGGATAATTTTATCAAGTTTTAAGAAACTCACATTTTACACTGTAGTCCACTTTTATGCATATACAAAAATGCAGAGGGCCAAAATGGGACCTAGAGTAACAGAAAAGCCATAACCTTCATTCTCAGAAATGCAAGAATATTTACTTATAGTAACAGCTGGTTAATTAAACCATTACAAACTCCTGTAGTTCACGTGTTGTTGTTTTCTATCCTCACCCAAGGACATTTTTCTATTTTTTGTTCAGATAGAATGGGAGGAAGAGAGAGAGAGAGAAACCTTGATGTGAAAAGGACACATCGATTGGCTGCCTCCCACATGACCCAACCAGGGCCAGGGACAAACTGCAACTGAGGTACGTGTCCTTAGCCAGAACCGAACCAAGGTCTCTGTGGACTGAACCTCTAACCGCTGAGCCAAACCAGCCAGGGCTAGTTCATGTTTTTTAACTTATCTTATCTAATCCTAAACATGCTTTGGTGATTAAAACAAATTCCTAAGAAATTCTAAGGTAGATTACAGAATGTTCAAAAACTCGTGAGGGTTCATAAGTCATAGAAAATTTATATCAACAAGAAAAATGTCCAGGAAATCAGGGAAAGCGAGAGCTAGAGAAAGATTGAGAGAATTTGTGTCATTAAAAGACATCCAAAACCGTGGACACTTAATTTTAAATGCAAAGCAGATCCTCAATGGCCATCTGCGGAAGAAAATTCTGAAAGCTTGGGATATAGAATCAAATGCATTAAACATGATTTTATTTCATGTTAAATGTTAAAACCTATTATGAGAATCAACCTGATGATGTATTACCTGCTATTCCTGGAAACAAAATACTGTGTCTTGTCTAGATAATAACTACATAATGCCTTTACCTGTGAGTATGCTGTAGTAACAACTGCTGCTAAATGTTGGTGAAAGTGTGACATTTGTCCCCAATTATTTCTTATATAGTAAAGTGGGAATAATAATATCACCCAGAGGGTTTGCTGTGGGAATTAAAAATGACAATGTATATAGACTGCTTTTTTGCAAAGTGTCTTTCAAATATTATTGTTAGTTAAAAGTTCAAGTCCAGTGAAAAGCATCTCTGGTTTCAGAGTAAAACAAATTTGAAAAGTAAAACTGGAAATTTTGGTCATAATAAGGTAACATTTTAAGGGCTATGGGAAACAGATCCACACATGAAAAAGTAATTAGTGTATATACGGTATTGCTAAAGATGGTCAATGCTAGTTCCATACAGAGGGATCTGTATTTAAGAAAGCATAGTTGTAAAGTAACAGGTGGCGGCAAATGTTGAGATGGGAAAAAACTAATTACACCGGCTAATGAGAAAGTCCAGCTACCAGAGAAAAACTCATAGGTGAACCCCAGATGTTCTTCAAGAGATCAGCTGATGAAAAGAAGAAAAACACACAGAAATGTATTATCATTAGTCAGTGAAGAGGCCGAGGGAAGTTGAATTAGAAGAGAATGTGCTGCTTGTGGTAAGAAATGTCTTAAATGCCACTTCATCTGAAATTAAAGCACAGACTCAAAAATCAGGACAACCTACTTCTTTGGTAACTAAAGAAAAAAAAGAAAGAAAGATCTAGCCTGGGAGGTAGGGAGGGGTGATGAAAAAGATGACGAGCAATAGAAAAAGGGTAGAAGTAGGAGTACAAGTATTTTCACCACCTGTATTCAAGAAAGTGATAAAAAGATACAAATGTTTGGTTATATGATAAATAACCCCTGTGGATTTAATGTACAACATGAAACCTATAGTTAACACTGTGGTATATTTGAAAGTTGCTAAGAGAGTAAATTCCAAAATTTTTCATCATGATGAAAAAAAGTAATATCTATATGAGATGATGGATGTTAACTAATCTTACTGTGATAATCATTTTTCAATGTGTATAAATCAATTATTTGTGGTATACACCTTAGACTTTTACAGTACTGTAGGTCAATTATATTTCAATAAAACTGGAAGAAAAAGTGTGGAAATCTAAATTCATATGTACAGTTTTCTCCAAAGCCACTTATGTAGGGTTTATACTGTACCAAGTACTGTTTTAAGGAATTATATAGTGGCTATTAAATTTGTGGGAAATTATTAGTGCACAGAATCAAGTCAGACTGCACCTGAGTTTAGATCTCAAGACTTAGCTCTTATCTACTGTGTTATTATGAGCAAGTAACTCAACTTATCTGTGCCCAAGTGGCCTCATCTGTATAAAGAGGTTATCATCAAGAGGGTCTACCTTATAATCATAGTTTTAAGAAGTAAATAGGTTAATGCATATAAGGTATTAAGAACAGTGGGTACCAAGTAGTAATTGCCAAACAAATTTTTTTATTATTCAAACTTTGACAATTTTTAATTATAAAAATTTCTTTACTAGATTTTTAAAACTTCAATTTAAAAATATATTGAATGTTGACATTATAATACTCAATTTTTATTTTTATATTAAATAAGTATGTAGTTTTTCTACTACATGTAAGTATATAAAACTACTCTTACAACATCTAAGAACCACTCAAAATGAACCAGAATGTTGTAAACTGATCAAATTATTGAGGAAATAAAAGGACATTTTTCTCTTAATTCCTTTTTCTTTTAATCCTTACTAAATTTTCATTTCTTTCCTTCCTTCTCATTCAAGTGTGGCTTTCCTGGATGAAATGATAATGTTTATTTGCATAATAACAAGGATAGAAATGATCATGAATGAAAGAGTAAGAGAAAAATGGCTGTTTAAAATCCTCTCAATGGTTAAAGCTCTAGTAAACTCTCTCTCTCTCATCTTCCAATGTATACTTTGAAGTAGAAAGAGATTACCAAGATGATAATTGCCTAAAAACATACTTCGAAGGCGATCTCGAAAAGAAAGAACACATCATTACAAATGCCAGATTTAATGAGAACATCACAGAAACTAGATATCTCTTACTTAAGGATATGAGGAGTTTAAACGAGTAATTCAGATTATACATAAATACACAGGAAGTAAGAATTAGAAGAAGAGCATTTTCCTTCCCTAAAAAAAAAAAGACGCTTTAGGGTAAGCTTATAAAGTTTTTCAAAATATTTTAGTTTAATGAAACTAACAATATTCAATTTTTATTATTACCTCTTCTAGCTTATTCCAATGACAGATTCAACAGTCATTGGCTCACTATCAGTGGAACCACAACATGAAAGCAGAGGACCAGCAGGGGCTCAGGCCCAGTAACCTTCCAGTGGAGATGGATCCTATTGGACTAGGGTTTGAGATCTCTAGGTCAAGCCTTACCCTCACTATTTTGGAGCTTGAATCTTTCACTCTAGCCAGTTTCTATTATTATTTGCCTGCTTCTTATTTTATTTTACATTTTTTTCCTCTTGCACAGAAAATCCTCTTCTTTTCTTTTAAAAATTCTGCTACTAATCTAAAACCTCATTGTCCCATATTTTCTCAAAACACTAATGTTTGATTTTTACTCTTACTTAGTGCTCATAACATTGACTACTGATATCATATTGTACTTACATAGTTGGATACTTCAATAGATGGAATACACAACTTCATATGTGCTATTAGTTTAATGAACTGTTCCTGGAGAATCTCAAAATCTTAAGAAAAATAATCTATGCTTCCTTTTAAAATACTGATATTTTCTCCTAATGAGTAAATGTTTATTGCTTTTTTCATCTTGGCTGTCACAAAGTTGATAACTACATCTTGTCTTCATTATATGAACTCTATGGCATATTATGATCAGTTTGTTTTACTTTAAATTACATTATTTCCCTGGAACATATATTTTTATTCTAATATGTAGCAGTCAGACTATTCATTTTTGTATTTATATTTTACTATGTATTGTCTACTATTACTATACAACTCCTCAACTATTTTTTATAATAGTTAAATAAGTGTCCATCAGTAGATGAGTGGATACAAAGCTATGGTACATTTACACAGTGGTATACTACATGGCTGTATAAAAAAGAAACTCTTACCATTTGCAAATGCATGGGTGGACCCGGAGATTATTATGTTGAGCAAAATAAGCCAGAGAAAGACAAATACTGTATGATCTTACTTAAATGTGGAATATAATGAACAAAATAAAACCAGAGGATGGATACATGGAACAGAGGTCAGAGGGGAGGGGTGGGAGGGTACTGGATGAAAGAAGGTAAAGAGATTAGTCAAAGAACATATATGCATAACCCATGGACACAGACAACAGTGTGGTTTGGCGATGGCCAGAGGCAGGGGTGTGGGGGTTGGGTGGAGGTGGGTACTGGCTGGGGGAGGGGAAATGGGGTATATCTACAATAGGGTCAACAATGAAAAAAAAGAAATGAATATTAAATTAGAGTTTTCTGTGTTTATATTCCCAACCTTAAGAATGTATTTCTGTGATATTTAGCTCTACAGATAGATACTTGATCACTCGCAGTTCTCTACATTATTTAAAAATTCTAACTCTTTACATTATTTGTTTGTTTTTGTTGTTAGTCCTCACCAGAGGATATTTTTCCATTGACTTTTACATAGGGTGGAAAGGAGGGAGAAAGAGAGAGAAACATCAATGTGAGAGAGAAACATTGATTGGTTGCCTCCCTCACGACCCTGACTGGGGCAGGGTATGGAACCTTCAACTCAGGCACATGCCCTTGACCAGGAATCGACCTGGTGACCCTTTGGTCCGCAGGCCAACAATCTAACCACTGAGCCAAATCGGTCAGGGCTTTACATTGTATTTTTAATGTTGAACATAAATCTGCATCCCTGAAATTCCATTCAATTCTCAATAGGACAATTCTCTGATATTGTAGCTGAAGCAAGAAAATTAAATTTCTCTTCTCCAGGGTGCTCCTACAAATAAGTCACTCCTGACCTTTTGCATGCAATTTGGATATCCACATTTCCATCAACTGTCCTGTAACATGATTTCCAGGTTCTTTATCCTCATGATGATCATTCTTTAGATGCTCAAAAGTTAATGCCCTTCTTAAAAGGTCTTGTCCAGGATCAGACTCAATATTTAAAGAGTGGCTTACCACAGTAGAATACAAAGATAGTGAGACTTTTAGTCTTTATTTGGACACTGAAATCTAGCTCCTTAACACTAAATGTACAATGATATTTTGATGGAAAACGCGGGTAGAGACTGGACTAGATTACAATTTTATAGGGATTCTGATGACCTATGTGAACAGACAGTGCATTTACTCTTAAGAAGGCTACCTTAGCAAGGCTTAAAGCCATTTGATTAGGTTGGTTATTTCTCATTTTAATGCACCCTCTCCCAAATACAGTTATAGTAATTCTTTGTCCTTTTTGACCCTTCCCTATTCCCTAGGAGGCTGACCTCTGGTGACTTCATCACCCAGAGGTTTGTCCCCTGGCTCTCAGTTAGGTTCAACCATGGAAGACACTGGCAGGAAATCAAGAGATAAGACTATAGCTCCCTACTTCTCTAGAGGTTCTGGGATTCCCTAGATCCTTGAGGCCTTGTGGGCCTGAGGGTCATAATGCCTTGTTGGCTTCCATACTCCTTTGTAAATAGTCCCTTTAGTAAAAGTCTCTTCTGTGAAATGTTTTTGAGAATGCTATCTCCTATCTGCTGGTTTGACTGGTAGATTGGATATGTTGCCATAGTCTACAGTAGAGGTAAGTGACAATCATAACAAAAACACAAATATAGATAAGAATGCAGCATGCATAATCCGAAATGCAAAGCAACACACACACACACACACACACACACACTTTTTAGATGGGATTATATTATAAAATAAAGTATAAATCATTACCTTTTTCCTCCTGGTGTCAATCTGTGAACCTTTACAAAGTTATTTGTCCCTCTTAGAATATGAATAAAAGAAAACAAAAGAAACTAAGAAATAAAAGAATACTGAGATCAGTCCATTTTGTTGCACTATTGAAGTACAATATAATTGGGACAATAAAGATTTTTATTCATGAAATGTGAAAGAGATTAAGATTTAATATAGCCTTAAGAAGCAAAAGTTAAGTACATATGAATATATATAAAAATTTTTGGCTGATTTTTAGAGGTTACTGATTATGATGCTATGCTCTCTCATCACCTCCTAAGAAGAGAATTGAATAAACAGTTATTTATTACCATACAGTATACTTGGCCTTACCTAAGTTTTGTTTTGAAAAATACTTTGAGTCAGATCTTCTAACAATGCAAAAATGTATAAAATAAAAAACAAACAAACATAAAAGACTCTTACATGAAGGTTCTTCAGGTTCTTAAAGTCCCCATCTTTGATTTCAGTTATTTTGTTGTTTTGCAGGTCCAGCAGCATAGTGTCAGGGGGAAGATCTTTGGGCACTTTGTCCAGACCTAGCAAGGGAATAAAAGCAATGCTCAGTCAGTCAAGGGAAACATTACTCCGGGATCACAGAGGATGTGTTCACTAAGTACCGTTGCAATGACAGTTGACAAATACCATGTTTTTCTTCTTCTAGGTATTGTATCAATTGTTGGTTAAAGTATCTGTTTTACCTTTTCTAACCAAGTCAAAAGATTTTGTTAGTAAAAAGAACAAATTATTCTTACTATGCACTCTTCTTCATAAAAAAAAAATTAATACTGTGCTAAATAATATTAGGTTAATATTAGGTTAATGAATATTAGCTAAAGATGTGACTCAAATAATTAGCACACAGTATATTATACCTCATTGTTCTTATTTTAGAAAGTTATTCTTTTGATAAGTGTTAAGTGCAAGTTATTTGTAAATCTATACCTTTTACATAAATAGCCTGTTCATAGAGAAGAATGTTAGCCAAATCATCAGGTAACGATCCTTTGATAAATCTAACACTGTCACAGATCTACATTTAACATTATAATTATGAAAACATGCAACTGTGTTGTTAAATCAACAAGTTGAAAATTTATTCAAACTTTTGAGAGTTCTTTCCATTTTAATTGGAATACCAAAACAATATCAATTTTAGTTGATGTTTTATGACTGATGGATATGTGGCTAATTAGAATAAAATGAATTAAAATTGTTAGTGTGGCTAGTCTAAAATTTATTATGTGAAGCACTCCTTTTGTACTTTAAATCTCGGTCTAAATAACTGAGTTATTGTTTTTAGTTTATAAAACTAAATACATTAACTAAACAAATGTTCTATAGTATTAAAAACATATTTATTCAACTAGATGTGTAAAGATGAACTGTTTTTATTATTTTAAAAATTGCATTTAAAATAAATCATCATTTTGAATGTTCATGGAGAAAAATATTTTTATTTATTTATTTTTTATTGTTGAAAGTATTACAAAGAAAAATATTAAATTACATATCTGTTTGCCATTCTTTATTCCCTTGACTTTGTTTCATATTAGTGAAGGATGTTACTCAAAATTTGAGGTTCTACTAACTAAAACGCATGTGATTGTTTCTGTTTTTTAAAATTACATAACATAAATCAGAAATATTTTTCAGCCTTTCCATCATATCTGAAACTTGAAGTACTGAAGATTATTCTTTTATTCATTTAATAGTGCTTTACTGAATACCTCCTAGACACCATCAATTTATTAGACCCTGGAGATAGAGCAGGGAGAAAGAAGATAGAAATTGCCCAAGTCATCATGGAAAACATAATCCAATGTACAATTTTCAATTTAAAGAAGTTACAACAGTATTTTCAATAACTGCTATGTGGGAAGAAGATATCTTTTCAATTCTGAATCTTATGTAAGCGCATACTAGTAAATTGTCATGGTAGCCATATTCTATCTTCATGTCTTCCATGAAAATTACAGAAAATGTATCTGAAGTCACCTGCTCTGAAAAAAAAGTTTAGTTCCCAATTCAGTGATCAACAATTGCTTTACATGTAAATATTAAAACGCAGGTGAGATGAGATCAGATGCGTTCGCACTCTGCGGCAGCATGGAGGGACCTGGAGAATATTGTGCTAAGTGAAATAAGCCAGTCAGAGAAAGACAAATACCATATGAATTCACTTATATGTAGAATCTAATGAACAAAATAAACTAGTAATCAAAGTGGACACGGACTCATGGGTACAAAGAATACACTGACAGCTGTCAGAGGAGAAGGAGTTGGGGGCTGAACCAAGCCAAGAAAAAAAAAGAAAAGAAAAGAAAGAAAGACTCATGGACACAGACAACAGTATGGTGACTGCCTGAGGCAAGGAGATGGGGAAGCAGAAGACTGAAAAATGGGGATGAATAATGATGGAAGGAGCCTGGACTTGGGGGTGGTAACACACAATACAATATACAGATCATGTACTATAGAACTGTACACCTGAAACCTGGATAATTTTATTAACCAATGACACCCCAATAAATTCAATAAAAATAAATAAATTTTAAAAATAAAATAAAAATAAAACGCAGGTGATTCTAAACATACCTAAATTACGTTCCAAGAACTCACAGAAACATTTCAGAGAAATAACAAGAATGAAGGGTTTTCAGTGACAAACAGCAAATCAATGACCAGAACAGCTGCCTTGTAGGAAGGAGGGTTATTCAACTACACTACGTTGCAATCGGTGCCATTTTCAGAAATGTCAGTTTGCTGATTTCATGCAATTAGGAGTGGTAGAATTCAGCCAAATCTTTGATAATTAGTGTTCTCCAGCCAAGAAATGGCATACTTTCTTTCATTCGAAAAGAGGTTGCTGCCTACATTTCATCACTATTTCACAGACATCCTTGTCAAAGTCTTAATTTCCACTTATGCTCACTTTTATGTATTGTTGGACTTAAATTCTAGTGGCTCTCTTAACATTTGTTCAAGGCAAAGTGCTACTAAGTTTCGGATGTGAAGAGAAAGAAATGACATGTTTGAATGACTGACGATTTTGATTACGCTGTCATCCTGGATTTTACAACAACAGGAAATGCTTGAGGTAAATTAAATACCTTTTTTTCCTGCAGATTTTGCATAAAAACATCTTTAGGCTTGTGATTTTTAGAATTCTGTTCTTAGAAAGTCATTTTAATGATCAAAATACTAATCCTACAATCTTCTCTGAAATACTAGTACATTCATGTCTATTTGGGGGATTTCACATATCACTATTTTATTATTAAAACTTTATGTAGCATTACAGTTTATAAAAATAAAAATATACTTTTTTATTGACCTCACAACAATTCAGGTAGATAAGTAAGACAGTATGATCATTTCATTTTCCCAGACGATGTTTAGAAAGGCTTACTGACATGAACAAGCTCATGTAGCTAGAAGTGACAAAATGCAGACCAGAAGACAATTCTGCTGGCTTCCTACAGGATGTCTTTTCTGTCCTACTCAGCAAAAATTGTTCCGACAGCAGACCCAGTAACATGCTGTACATTTCAGAGCTAGACAGAGCACTGGGGTGTTAACTAGCTTGTTTGACAACTATAGGCAGAGCACAATGGGGAAATGACCCAGTTATAAGTTCTCAGACAGGGAAGGGCTGTTAAGTTAGTCTATGTATCCCATATGCTGATTAGGTAGACTCTCTCATGAAGTTCTTATCAGTCTATATCAAAATCAGAAAAAGTGAGGGCGATCTGGTTAGTTTTAATATAAATTATCACATACACAACCAAGACATGTGCGTGCGCGCGCGCGCGCGCGCGCACACACACACACACACACACACACACACACACACACACTGCCTTCACATAAAATATTCTCTCTTGCCCGGTTGGTGTGGCTCACTGGTTGAACGTCGACCATGCACCAAGAGTTTGCTGGTTCAATTCCTGGTCAGGGCACATGCTCAGGTTGTGGGCCCGAACCCCAGTGGGGGGCATATAAGAGGCGGCCAATCGATGTTCTCTTTCATGGATGTTTCTATCTCTCTCGCCCTCTCCCTTCCTTTCTCTCTGAAATCAATAAAGAAAAAATATATATATACATATATATATAAATTTTAATTTAAATTTCTCTCTCTCTCTCTAGAGAGAGAGAGAGAGAAAGAGAGATAGAAAAGAGTCTAATAGCAGATGGCAGGTTGCTTTCATTTTGTTGGATTTGGTTTTGACTTTAGTAAAAAAATGACATTTTAAACATTCAAAAATCTTTACTTGTCCCATAAATCAGGGAATTCTAAACCAATCCAAAAATCTCTTTTCATAGGTTAAAAAAACAAACACCCAGTGAAGTTAAATGGCTCATATGAGTTGCCTGATAGCTAAACTAAACCAAGCCCAAGATGGTATGAGTCCTCGCTCTCCAACAACCCAATGTGCCATTTATGCACATAAATATTCTACACAGCCCTGGCTGGTGTGGCTCAGTTGGTTTGAGTGTCGTCCCATATACTGGGGGTGGCAGGTTTGATTCTCGGTCAGGGCACATACCCAGGTTGTGGTTTTGATCCCTGGTGGGGATGCATGCTGGAGGCAACCAATGTTTCTCTCTCACATCCATGTTTCTTTCTCCCGCTCTCTCCCCATATTTTTAAAAGATGCTGATCAATGCTCTCTCTTGAAAATACAGTGCTTATTCCTAGCTACTCATTTTTGTTCATATGACTTATGTGCATGGAATGTGAGACCCCTCCTTTCCTTCTACCCCCACTGTGACAACCCTTTCAAACATACTCATCCTCCCTTATAATATGCATCCTAACCAACCCAGGTAACGATGACCCCCACCCTCAAACACCTTATATATACACTTCCGATGTATTGTAGTGCATTTTAGATTCCTTCCTTTTCTGTAAGTTCTAGGACAGCTGGAACAAATGACCATGTTCATCAGGGCTTTGATCTTCCCGCTTTATACATAGGAGGTAGATTTTGATTAATTAATTTTAAAATCACAGTCTGCTCTGCTGTCCCGTGGTGGACAGTTCAGGTCATGGCTTCAAAGTATTTTTCTGCTATGTTTCCTTACGATCATCTCTTCACATCCTGCTTATTTTTCCTCAGAAGTATTAGGATACAACTGGCTATAACAATCATAATTTTTTTTCTGATTCTTGGTTGTCCAAGAATATTTTCGAAATAAGTGCTACTATCAAACGTATCCTCTCCATTATCTGCACCTGAAAATTGCTCTCACTTTCTAATGCATCTGACACATTTGGGAGGAAGCATTTGTTACATATGTATCTGAAGAAGTCTGCCTTTTCTGTCCCACAGGGTGACCGATCCAGGGACAGTTTCTCTGCAGGACATGTATCTCTCATATTTCTCTTATACAGTGATACCTCGGTTCTCGAATGCCTCTGTTTTCGACCAAATCGGTATTCGACCAGGAGATTCGAGAAACTTTTGTCTCGGAATCCGAACAAATATTTGGAACTCGAACTTCCGAGATGAGCCGAGTTGAGCCGAATGGCGTT